TGCTCGTCTCTTTCTCTCGTTAGCGGCCACATGGCCGGTCTGTTATCTAGTCCGGCTCGTTAGCTGGCGCGGGGCGGGTCTGTTATTTCGTTAGCCAGTTTGTTAGCAGGCACGTGGCTGATCGCTCAGTCTAATCTATTTTCTGTCTCGCTAATCTCCTAGCTGTCATCTATCTGGGCACTCTAATCCATTATCAGTCTCCAGTCTGTTCGCTCTCACAGGTCTGGGCTGGTCTCTATCTAGCTGATGTATTATCACATATCTGATTGCTGCAATCTGACTAACTAGGATAACCTTAAAAAACAACAAAAAGTCAGGTAGCACTTTATAGACTAACCAAACAGGTAGATGCTATCATGAGCTTTCGTGGGCACAGTCCACTTAGCTAATCTATTAGCTACCACATCTGATTGCTGTGATCTGTGATCTATCTAGCCAGTCTATTAGCTGCTACATATCTAATTTGTTATCTGTCTGATCCATCTACCTATTTACTAGCTACCACGTTTGATCAGTCTAGCTAATCTGTTAGCTCTTACATGTCAGAACAGTCTAAGCAATATATTTTCTAACTAGTTAATCTATTAACTAACATTTTTGGGAAAATTTCGTGGCCCATGTTATACAGGAGGTCAGAATACATAATCACAGTGGCCCATTCTGGCTTTAGAATCTATTAATCTATTTACCCATTTGTTGTATCTATGTACCGGTCTGTGGCAAAGACTGTATTTTTTGCCTCAGACATTTTAGGCACTACATCCGTAATTAATAATACATTGTCTATTGCTGGTAACATTCATAGGGTGTTATGCTTTCCATCATGAATTTTGGATTTAAGGGATTAACTCTACTCTTTTATTGCAAAAGATTTATTGAATTTAATGAGTCTTGCAAAGTGTGATCTCAGGCCATAATCCTACAAGAAGCTTTACAAATCCAGACCTTGGTTGAAATGCCTTATTGATTCTTACAACATTCCAGATGGGTGCATGGATATGCCTGCACAGAGCTCCTTGCAAGACTGAAGCCTAACTGATTAGAACAGGGGAATGGTAGTCAGGATGCTTAGGTGCTAGTCTAGTTCTTCTGATTTGCAGTGTGATATTCAGCATGCTACTTAATCTTCCTGCATGTCAGTTTCCCTATCTGTGAAATGTGTAGAATCTGGTATTGGTCATCTTCCTTTCCAAGTGCAAACTAATGGTTCTTATCAGCCTTTTGTAACTATTTAGTCTTTGAGATGCTACTAGACTAATTGTTGTTTTTAAAGTTTTTCCTGTTACGGACTCACTTGGCTATTCCCCTAAAGCTTATCTACTCACTTTTTCTTCTTCTTCCCCTTCAATTTTTTTTCCATCTCTTCCCCCCCCCCCACCTTATTTATTCTTGCATCTGGACTTCCAACACTCCAGTCATCTGAAGAAGTGGGTTGTGCCCACAAAAGCTGATGATACCATCTACATGTTTTGTTAGTCTTTATAGTGCTACTAAACTATTTGTTGTTTTTTAAGTTTTTCCTGTTACAGACTAACTTGGCTACCTCTCTGAAGCAGTTGTAAAATGTCTGTAAAGCACTTTGAAAGCTTCAGGTAAAAGATGCTCTCTATACATATATGTAATATTAATAAGTAATATTACTTATAGAAGCACTTTTATAACAAATTACATTCTTAACTGAATTATAAATTGTCAGTGATCAGAGGCCATATATTTTTATTTGTTCATTAGTGAGAACACTACTCTTTATTGTTTCTGCAAGACAAAAATAATCTGCCATATATTTGAGAGAGTCCGTCTGTTTGTTCAAAAACTCCTCCTAAACAGTAAGAGCTAGGACCACCAAATTTGTTGTGTGCTTAAAACAAGGTAACGGTTTGATTGTACCATGCAGAAAAGAGACAGAATCACCAGGCAGGTGAAAGGGGCTTCACTTGAGCCTTCCACCCTTCCAAGGCCCCCTTATTTTTTAGGAGACTTTACTGGCTGTTCTTATTTGTCATGGAGTGAGGGGAAAGTATACAGTTTGCTGCATTCCTCAGTCTGCCTGGGGAACACGGGGCAGATGAACCTGCATCTGCCCCAGATGGAGGACATGTCTCCTCTGCAGGTGTGCCTGCTGGAGCTGCAGCAGCCATGGACAGATGCTTCTTCCCTGGTCCCAAGTTGCTGTGGTGAGAGAGGGCTGGGGTTGTCCTCTCTTCCCCGGGGCAGCCTGTATACTGAACCCTCATCACTACACCAGAGCAATGATTTAAATGGAGATTTTCATTTTATTTTCCAAAAAAACAAAATTGAGTTAAGGACCCAAGCAATGCCAGATAAATCTTCTAGTATAAATAATATTTTATATTGCTGTCTATAGGCCTTACTTCTGTAGCAGCACAAACCCTAACAAAGACATTCTTACAGAAGAATAAACAAATATAAAGAGGAGGCCAAATTGACATTTTTTGTAACTGATTAGTTTAAATGTTATCCTTATGAAAACTTAATTTCTCAAACCTTGTGTGTCTTCTTTTAAATGCCTATAACTTTATTAATGTAGTTCAAACCAGATTGTTTCAACTATGGCTAATGAATATCCCATTTAAGACTGAATACATAATAAGCTTGCATGTATGTAACAAATTAGCTTTTTAATTACTTGAGTGCAGAATGAATTTGTGTTCTGTTGCTCAATGGGAAAAAAAAGCCTTTTCCCTTATATGCCTACAGTTCTAAAACATTACATTTGACTATAACATTTACTAAAATTATTGTTTCAGGGTTGACAGACATAAGAAAATTTATCCCAAAGATAATTATGTGAGAAAGCTATAAGCAACTTCAGTTATGGAGTTAGGATGTGGATGCTTTCTCATGTGTGACTATAACATCACAATGCTTTCTTAAAACAAAGCACAGAAAAATTATGAGTAAGGCTTAAATCACATGCCTCAAAGTTGTAATAAACATTAAAGCAATCGTGCAGGCTTTCCTGTGGCAAAACACCCGTTGACATTGTGATAGATATAATAATTTCCTGCAGTGGCCCAGACAAACGTTGTTGATTTAAGTTAATGTGTCATTGTGGGCCACAGATTGTAGGTAATTTCATGGGGAAGGGTGAACTACAGCCCTCCAAGAACTAAAAATAATGGTGGTAAATTCACTCCGGTTATAACATCTCCTGAGAGGTACAACCATCTGGACAGGCGTGCATATAGAGGTTCAGATTGGATTCTCTAGAGAAAGGACTTTTGGATAGCCTGAATTTAAACTGATCCAGGGCCTGCTTTCTGTTCCAACAAATGGACAGGACTTTCTGTTCAAGGGAGGTCCCAGTCCTTCATGGGAAGGGTTGGAAAGACTTGAGCTGTTTATATGTGTGCTTGTTCTGTGCCAAGACAGTTACGAACATGGAACCACAAAAAAGTTCCTTGGCAGAGTTTGAAGGACTGTCTCTTACTAGACCCCTTGCTGGGGTTGTGGTGATCTCTGATAAGGTTATTAGTACCTGTAGAGGTTCTTTTATTGGTTTAATGTGCTTTTTCTCTCTGTTTTCAGTGCTTGCTAGGGGTGTTAGATATAGTGTAATTGAATAGTCATGCAACTGCATGAAATCTTATTGCTTATACGACTATACAGTAGTCTCTGAGGGTGGGGCCAGCAGTCAGTGTGCTCCTAGCCCCATTCCCAGGGAGCCCCCTGGCAACCCATGCTGCTGTCTCTGTATCAGAAACAGCAGTGTGGGGTGGTAGGCAGGAGTTGGTCCATGAGGTCTGTGTGGAGTGGCAGCAGCCTCTGTTTGCGGGGGGAAGTCTGAGCTCCCCATGGACAGTGGTTGCTCAACCTCTATCTGCGGGGAGCTCAGACCGTCCGTGGACAGGGGCTGCTACTGGGTACCAGCCACTGTTTGTGGTGAGCCCAGACCACCATGGGCAGAGGCTGCTTCGTGGCAGCCTCCCCTTGTGCTGCTGCCTCTGTTAAAGGCACTGCAGAGCTGGTACTGGCAGGAGCTGGTTTTTAAGCCCCCCCCTCCAACATCGTCTCCTGTCTGCCCTCTCTTGCTGCTTCTATGGGAGGCAGCAGGGGGGGGGGGCAGGTGGGTCCGTAGAGCCAGCACACGTGGAGAGCCAAAAGCTGGCTCCTTGCATGAATCGGCTCCAGCCTGCCCCACCTCCACGCAGCTGCCTCTTTATCAGAGGCAGCAGCACGGGGAGGGGGCAAGCAAGTTGGTTGCTCCTGGGTAGCCCGCTTTAAACCAGCTCCTCATGGGCACCAGCTCCCACTGCCCCCTCCTCTTGTTGTCTCTGATAGAGAAGCAGCAAGTGGGCATGTGTGTGCCTGTAGTCAATAAGATTAACAGATAAACCCGAGCTTATTGGTTAACTGTTTATGTAGACTACACATTGACATCCCTAGTGCTTGCTTAGGAAAAGCTGTCTGGTACTTATAACTGTGGGCAATGATGCTGTTTATAGCATCTGAACAGAAAAAGCAAAGCAGGCTCACTTAGGCAGTCTGAGTCACTGGGAAATCCATGGTGTAGGCAGGGAACCATGCAGCCTTGAAATGCTCCAGTCAGAAGGGGTGAGATGTGAGTCTGTACCTGAGAGAAATAATGGGAACCAGGACCTAAAAATAGATCCTCTTGGTGGACCAGTTCAGGTTCTGTAGCCCTGAACTGTGGCAGATATCAGTGATGTGTTTTACTTACAACATCACATGATAACTTCACATTCATATCATTCACAGGTTGTTACAAAACTGCAATGTTACAGATGTAGTTTTGAACGTAATGGCAATGTAAATGTTTTGGCCAACTCATGATGCCTCGTGAGACTAGAAGTCATTGGAGTTATAGAAGGGATTTACTTATTTTAAAATACTAATGAGTGCAGTTCCATTTGCTGTAGCCTATCCCTTTCTGGTGCAGGATATAATCTTGAAGTTTTGTGTTCATTAACCTAATCGCATTGGCTCAGATCCTCAAAGGAATTTAGGCTCCCAACTTCCACTGATTTTAATAGGAGTTAGGAGTCTAAATTCTACATCAGGATTTATTCCTGACCTGTCAGAATGGAATGAACTCCATGTATATGTATGTAAATCTTTAGCTGTAGATCCTTCTGAGTTGTTCTCTTGACTGAAATACTGAGTTTAATAAAATAAGGCAATATAATACAAGAATTTCTTTCTTTTGGCTCCCCTCCAGCAAAACAGTTGAACCATGACCAAACTTTGAAGTCAATGAGATTACGCCCTTAAAATTACACATGGGCACAAGAGGTTGGCTGGTTAGGGATCTAAGTTAGTAGATATGTTACTTTGCAGTCAGATAAGTTGTTTGAGTTTACTGAAAAAATAGGTAAAACTGTTGTGTACATTTCTAGAAAATTGTGTACATGGACTAAAAAATAAAAAATAGAATAAAAAAATCTGATCATGTTATAAGGTAAGATATTCTCATAGGTGAAGTGTCCTATTCACATTGGCTCTGATTGTCCAGTCATTCAGGGCAGGTTTACACTGGTGTCTTTCTACTGAAGTCAGTGGAGTTACTCCTGTGTGAGAGGGTCAGGCCCACTCACTTAAATAAGGAACATTTTATCAATGTTTCTACTTGAACTCTGAAGTTAATAGTTTCTTTCAATATATTAATGATGGCTGTAAAGAGGGCCTGCCAACATGGTGGTTCAGTCTTGCATAATTGTTTGTTTTTTTGCTCTTGCAGGTGATCTTGTCAGGAATCATAGGTTTAACAACGTGGAAGAGACCAGTAATACTTCTGGTATGTATCTGCAAACACATGTTTTAAGGGAAGTATCACAAGATGCTCTTGATATAATAGTACAGTACTGGTACAGAGGTTAATTTACTTTCCCTTTAAAAAATACTGGCATTACTGAATTAAGCAAACAAAAGATTAAAGCAAACCAAGGGGTATACACAGCTCTTGTTAGCAGCAATAGGCATTATGGGACTGTACTGAGAGGAAGTAATACTATTGTAATTTAATTTTACAGAGCTTTTCCATTCATGTAGCTCAGTGTTTCTCAAAGTGGTCCACAGACCCACTCTGAAAAAGCTGTTATCTGGCCACTCTGGTTTGTTTATTTACCAGTTCCACAGCCACGGAGTGACCTACTGCTTCCCACAGCTCCCCTTGGCTGCAAAAGGCGAACTGCAGCCAATGGGAGCCACAAGGCTCTGTGGCTGCAGACTCAGTAAGTAAACAAACCAGAGCGGCTTGATAGCAGCTTTCTCAGAGTGGGTCCACGGGCTAATCTGAGAAACACTGGTGTAGGCCTATTTCCTAATTCGAAATTATAGATTTGGGATACGAGTAGCACATCCGAGAGCACATCTACACAGCAGGGTAAAGTCGAAATAAGCTACACAACTTGAACTATGTCAATTGCATACATTAAGTCAAAATAGCTTATTTCAGCTTTTGCGCTGTCTACACAGCAGGAAGTCTGAGTTAGAGTAATCTTCCTCCAACTTCCCTTACTCCTCGTAAAATGAGGGTTACAGGAGTCAGAGTAAGAAGTCTTCTAGCTCGACATTATTTCAACATTGTCGAAATAACTACTTGCTATGTAGACATGGGCTATGTTATTTTGGAATAATGTTGCTGTGTAGACATAGCCTAAGAGACTAACAAAAGTATATACGATCATGTGCTTTCATGGGTAAAACCCACTTCATCAGTCTTAGCCACTAAAGCTCATGATCCTATATATTTTTGTTAGTCTTTAAGGCAGGGGTAGGCAATAATTTTTGACCAGGGGCCACGTCAGAAATTTTCAAAGTGGCCTCAGGGCACCCCAGAAGGGGTGAAGCCAGGCCACTTCTGAGATTCCCCTAATTGGTCTGGGTGGAGGAGCGTGCAAAGACTTTGCTCCCCCCTCCCGAGAACCGCCAGCTGTTCTCAACTGCTAATGGGTCGCTCTAAGCACCCATGCCCATGGCAGTAGGAGAAGACTTTGCGTGCTCCCCCATTACCCCAAGTGAATCAGGTCCTGGGGGAGGGGGAGAATGTGAAGTCTGCTCCCACGCTGCAAGGGAGTCATCTGTCAGCTGAGCAGCAGCTGGCCGATGACTTTAAGTGCTGAGCCCCTTGCAGGGTGGGAGAAGTCTTTGCATGCTTCCCCTCCCCCCAAGCCCTGTTTGGTTTGGGGGTGGTGGGGATCATGCAAAGTCTCTCTTATTCCCTGCATCTCTGGCACACAGTGCTTAGTCAACTGCCAGGGTTGATTCTTAAGCACCGCATGCTCCCCCGTCCCTAGGCCCTGATTGGCCTGGGAATGGGGGAGTGGCAGGGACTCCAGGCTGGTTCTACTCACTTAGCAGGCTGGATCCAGGCCATGGAAGCCCTTTTGCATACCCTGCTCTAAGGTACCACAGGACTACTCATTGTTTTTAAAATTACAGACGAACACAGTTACCCCTCTGAGTTTTAGGATAACAATTCACATCTATGTATCCTGTGTTGTTTCCTGGCCCTGAATTTTTTTCCATTCTGTTTTGTCAGCACTCTGGCAGAGTATGTTTTGTCATTTGGGGATAATACTATTCAAGTTTCCAGAAAGGAATTGCTCTCAGGACTGATCACTCAGCTGTAATATACTGGTGCCTACTACTACAGCGGAGTGGTCGCTCTAAGTACTACTGTCTTATATCATTTGTCTTTGTCGTGCCTCCCATATTTAAGAAATTATACTCTTTTGATAGAAATATATAAATGTACAGAGTATGTAAGCTGTATCTAGATATAAACCATCTAAAATGCTCTTTGTTGTGGTGGGTCTGATGTCTCGGGGACTGGAAATGGGATATGAAACCTTTCATTACTAGGTCACTGCTTCATCTCTCTTCGAGGACAATAGTAACCAAAATATGTTGTCACAGGCTACTTTTTTGGTGAGACGTGAAAAGTGGGGTGGTTTCTATCCAGCTTCAGTTGTTGTCTAAGTATACAGACCAAGGACTGGATAGGTATGTTGACTAAGTTACTTTCTCTTCCTTAGAAGAGGAGGTCTGTCCAGATGAGAGACATTGGTGGGATAGTATATAACTTGCTTTGTTGCTACCTATGTTGTACCAGTTCTGTGAATAATTAGAGAAGATATCCAGGACTCTCAATATGGCAGTTTACACAAGCACTGAATTTGTTTAAAAATAAATATAAATGCCATCTGTCTTTAAGAATTTCAGCCCTACAAGGAGTGTGGTGTTTCTGTATCTGGAAAAAAATGATTACAGCAATTGCTGTTTACTATAGCTCCTTATTATTTCCTTCTCTTCTACAGTCTAATCCTTTTTTTCATATCCTCCTTTTTATTGATTGAATGGATTATTTCTCATTTTACCTGAGCACTGAATCAGTACACTTAACTTTTTATTTTCATTTACTTTCATTCATAATAAGTATGATTCTTTAGTATTTTTCATTTTTGAATATTTCTATGTTTGTGAAATGTGATATCTTTTCCCCAAGATTCGGGACAGAAAGGTAATGGTACAAAATTCATCACCAAGTTTCATATCACATGGATTCTTTAATACAGAGAACCTTGCAGATGGATTAATTTAATACATTGTCATATTTAAGAATTTTGTATAACTTAGATTTTTTTAATTGAACACCAGGGCCATTGCAGCAATCTGAGAAATCTGGATAGTCTCGTGTATGTTTTGAATTGCCAGGGTTTGTATTGCATCATGATGTTAGCATTTGCACCATCTTTGAAGAGATTTTGGACACTGTAAAATATAGTTATAACATTAGTTGTTGTTGGATTCATCTTGATCATTATTTTTACTTCTATAGCTGGGTCAACATTAAAACTCTCCCTTCGTGTTCATAAGCTAAAACCTTATTATCATCTTTGTTTTTATGCATAATTGTACTTTGAGCTGGTGATTCTATAGAGAATACTGTACCATTTTAAGTGCTTTTAAAATTCTCTGTGGTTTGCCAAAAAATAAGTGCTGCAGGTGTCTTGAAACTTCAAAACCAAATGTTAAAGGCCATGAAATTGTTTAATTTGATGTAGATTAAGAGCTCTCAAATCTAGTAATTAAATTTGTCCAAAGAGCTATTTGGGCTTATTCTTTTCATCATAATAAAATAAATAATTTCCGTACTGAATGCTTGTATTATTCTGCCTCTGCAGCTGCTTATCGCTTAGCAGTATTTAAGTAATCTTACAAAGGAGCACACATTTTTCTCAACTCTCCTTTATATGCATGTGTTTAGGTAATGTCACTGCTTCAGTTGCTTTCTTTGTGTGTGTCCAAATGAGGATAAATTTGACACAGATTTCTTCGTCCCTATACTGTACTATAAACAGAATTGTGAGGGGGACTCAGTATCACAGAGTGGCTTGTTCTGAGGGCTGGAAAGTCTGTTGCTAAGCCTACTTGATCTCAGAATGAGCCTTACCTACGGGAAACCAGGCAAATTGCCACATAGAGTAGAAGGTGAATGCAATAATGGGCAGGAGAGCTAGGCTTAAGCAATGTTAAAGAATTGGAGTGAGAATCAGATAGGAAATTCAGAGCAGGAAGCAAAGCTTTCCAGGCAGGGAGGCCTGGGAAGAGACCTTAAGAAGCTGGATAGGAAGTAGGCTAACACAGTTATAAAAGCAGACCTAGCTGGTCAGTACGTGGCCCTGGGCTAGAATCTAGCATAGGAGGGTAGGACTGGGTTCCCTACCAGCCCCAAGGAAAGGGGTGTGCATAGGGTTGCCAGGTGTCTGGTATTCACCCGGACAGTCCGGTATTTTCGCCTCCTGTCTGGTAAAAAAAAAAAATCAGAAAATACCGGATACCTAAGATGTCTGGTATTTTCTGATTTTTTTCTCCTGGCCAGAAAGCGAAAATACTGGGAACCTGGCAACCCTACAAACACTAAGCGCCCAAACTCCCCTCACCCCTCCCCTGAGCCGCTCCCAGCCCCCAACACCCCCAGATCCCATGCTTACCTGGTTCTGCAAGGCTGCCGGCACAAAATGACTGCCGGCAAAAAGACCAACGGGAAGCAATGACTTCCCTGGGTCTTAGTGCTCAACCGCTCCCCTATTTCTATCCCTGCACTCACTCTTAAAGGGGACATGCTGTTTTAATGCTGTTTTATTTTAATATATATATATTGCTTAATAAGTCTTGGAGTCTTTTTTTTTTTCTCAACAACTTTGGTCTCCTCCCCCTCCCCTTTTTTTTTTCTTCAACAGAATTTTTTCCCAGTGTTTTTTTTTTGGAGGGGGGGAGGGAGTGTTTGGTATTTTTGTTTCAACCATCTGGCAACCCTAGGTGTACAAGCTCACTGCAAGGGATATTAAGCCCACCAAGGAAGCTAAAGGCAAGCCAAAGAGAGGCAGAAGAAGTGCTCAGAGTAGATGGAAGAAATGTATTTCTGTTAAACACATTTGAAGACTTATAAGTTTAGAGTCTTAAATGACACCAAAATGGGTGACACCAAAATGTGTGGACTTAAGATGGCAACATGGCCGAAGGGATGAGTTACTGACAGAGAAACTGCCACTGTGCTAGAGTGACCATTGGTGGGAGTGCTACCCAGAGAGAGAGCTGTTATGCCATGCTTGGTCGTGAGAGAATGCCTAGTGTTGAGTGAACTGATTTATACCACTTACAAATTTGCAGCACTGTTGTCCCATCACCCTTCCCCATTCCTCTGTTTAGATGGCAGCTGCTTGTGATTCTGAATCATGGAGATCACTATGCAGTTCAGGCTTTAGCACAGATGGAGAACATAGTTTACTC